TATCCGTAGAAGTGTCTCTGAGTTGCTAATATTTTTGGAGAGACATTTTTCTTAGGAAACTCTTGACTCTAAATAAAGAAACCATTTCTGAAACTGATATAGACTGTAAGGAGAATAATCATCTCATATAACTATCTCTATAAGGGTGAGAAGGTTCCATCCAAGGTAATATTAGGAGCCCAATATCATGGTCAAGAACACAGGTTATTTTTTTCTTTACTCTCCAGAATTGTGTTTTCATCTTAGAGCTTTTAACTTTGGGATTATAGGACTGCTGCCAATGGCAATTGAGTTTGTTTTCTTGTTCATGTCTGGCTGGACAGAAAAGCCTTATTTAACCATTGATTTAGAAAAGTTTTCATTCTGTTGAAACAATTCAGAGGCTCATATCGCATTTCAACCATGGACCCTCTGCTGGAAGCATGTCATGAGCTGATAGGCTGAAATGGACTAAATTAGAGTTCAACTCTGGAGTGGAATTTGGAGAGTTTCCTGAACAACAGTGTCATGTGAGATGTGAGTCTCAATCCTTAAAAAAATATTACAAATTGGAATCACATGGAATTTAGAATGGGTACAGTTGTTCATGCCTGTGATCCCAGCACTCAGGAGACTGAGGCAGGAGGATTGCTTGAGCTTAGGAATTGAAGACCAGCCTATGGCGTCATACTGATACCCCATCTCAAAAATGAAGGAAGGAGGGGAGAAAGAGAGATATAGAGGGAGGGAGGGAGTGAGATTACAAAGAATCTGGATAAAAACAAAACTGTAATGACAAAAAGCTGATGTCCTTTTCCAATACCAAAACCCAAGTTTAGTTTTGCAGTCATCGTATATAAAACTATAGCCTCTCAAAATGATAAGCAGAATGTCTGGGCTTTAAATCATTTTGGAAGCTTTTATTTTGTAGACAATAAACACTATTTCACAACTGACCTGGATGCCTTCTCATTAAAAAGCAGTGTCCAATACCGAAATCAAAGAAGAAAATAAGGTGATAGCAAGTTAACAACGTGTTGTTTTGTTAATGTCTTTGTTATTTTATTTTTGCTCTTTTCTCTTTAAAATAAAAAAGAAGAAAATAATCCTGTCTGCGACCAGATATTTGAAATCAGCCTTTCAGCAGGTTTATTAGAGTCACAGAATTTCTTTCTTTAAGCATGACAATTTCTCTGAAAGTATCTTTATGCTCTTAGAAATTGGAAAATGTATAAGACAATTTTGATGATAAACTGATTGGATGGATCAAATGAATTGACAGGATTGTACCAAAATAAACAAAGTCCTCACTTGCCTTTATCTTAACTAGCTTGATCATATCCAGAATTTCTTTGGTGTGGACAGTATTAGTGGATGGTTTTTAAAAAAAATTGTACTTTGCCCCCCACAAAAAAGAAAATTGTGGGCCTGTAGGGGGCAATGAATCTCAGTATATTATTTTAGATAAAATAGTTTTGGTAAAAGCCTACATGGTGCCTTGGGAAGCCTCCCGGGACAGTGTAAGAGCTAATTCCCCAGATCAACACTGCCCAGGAATGTCTCCCCAAGATAAGGGGGTGCCTAGGCCTAGGTCACCCTCCATGACCCTGCCTGGGCAGTTCCATCTCTTGACTCTAGGTAAATACTGTAACCTTAAAGGAATGCATAGGTTGTAAAAAAGGAGACAAATGGAATGTAATGGGGGAAACATCTATCATGGTTAGACATGCGACCTGCGACTGACCTGGGGTCCAACAGGATGAGAGAAACACCATATGCCCACCGGGGTCAGTGAATGTAACATCCCAATCTGCTGCCAATGGAAACCAAAATGTATATAAGGTGAAACAAAGTTGGCCATTGCCTGCTTCCAGATTGGCAAGGGAAGTGAGGGTGGCTAGCCTCAAATTAAACTCTGGTTTTGTTCTCAATAGACTCGGGTCTCTTGTGGAATACAGCCCAATTTGTGCCAAGGGAACTTCTGCCATAACAGGCTGGGGGTTTAGCTCAGTGGCACAGTGCCTGCCTGGCAAGAGCAAGGTCATGAGTTCGATTCGCAGTACCTGAAAACCGCCCCCCACTAAAAAAATTGTACTTTGTTTAAATAAGCAAGTCTTTGATTTTAAAAAAGTATTTTTGTGTGAAGTGAGAGAGAGAGAGAGAGAGAGAGAAAGAGAGAGAGAGAGAGAGTATGTGTGTGTGTGTGTATGTCTCAATATTTCCATGCCTTGTGACATGGAAATATTGCAGTTTGTCTTCAAAGGATGAAAAGAAAATAAAGATGCATGTTTAATCTCAGGAAGAGATATTTTGAATTCTAGAAGAAGAGGCTGGAACCATGTACTTAACTACAAAAAAAATGTACAGTGTTTATATACTACATAAAACAATAACAACAACAGTAAAAAATTTTAAAAATTTAAAGGTAATTGATAACTAAAGGAGAATAATTACAGAATAAAGGCTAATTTTCATAATGTATGAGTGGCTTCTCGCAAAAATTTACAAAATGTGAACAGTAATAGAAAAAAGATTGTGGCACATGCCATTAATAAGTAATTCATGAGTAACATGAATTCATAAGTAATTCATGAGTAGCCAGGTGTGGTGGTGCACGCCTGTAATCCCAGCACTTGGGAGGCTGAGGCACAGGAATTGTTGCGAGTTTGAGACCAGCCTGGGCTACAAAGTGAGTGCAAGGCCAATTTGAACTGCATAGTGAGACCCTGTCTCAAAAAAAACAAAACCAAAACAATAAAAAATCTTCAGCCTCAATGGAAATGAACAAAAGCAAATGTAAACAATGGATTATTTTCATTTTTAGCTATAGAATAGGCCAAAACTTACAATGATTAGTGCCTTTCTTTGCAAGGATGTAAGAAGAAAGCTATTCTCATTCATAATGATGTCATAAGGATAAGTGTGGCATGTATAAAAAGGGGATACTTGTGGTGGCATATTTGAGAGAGTTGTCTCTTACTGCTACCCCAGGAATGAAGTGGAATGAAGCCATGTATGGTGGCACATGCCTGTAGTCTCAGCACACGGGAAGCTGAGGCAGGAAGGTTGCTGTGAGTTTGAGGCCAATTTGGACTATATAGTGAGTCCTTGTCTCATAAAATAAAAAGAAAAACAAACAAAACCCTACAAAAATAATGACACTACTAAAGCAGAATGAAATAGAAGCTGCATTCAGATTAGTAGAAAAATTTAACAAAGCTACTATATGTAAGACAAATATTCAAAGACCAAGAGTGTTCTTATATCTCAAATGAAATGCATTAGAAAATATTTCGTAAAACCCTTTCTCCATTTCTGAAGGTGGCAAAAAGTACAAAGAGCCAAGAAAATCCTTTAATTAGTAAGTAGGGACTATAACTTTTTAAAATTATGAAACATTATATGAATTATACCAAAGGAGATTCAAGTAAAACACAAGCTGTGTATAAAGATTTAGGAGTAAGTCTAAATTTATGAAATTCTACATAAGTTCTAATTTTATTAAGAATTTATGGAATTCTTCATAAATTCTAATTTTATTAAGTTTCCTGAGCCAGGCACTTCCATCTCTGAAGGCAGATTAGAGAAATGTACTGGTTCATTTCAATTATGATTGAATGTTGAGATTTATGAAAGACTACCACATTCATTTTAAAAATTACATATTTATTAGAAATTATTTTATGAATCAAAGTCTTACCTTGGTAAAAGTCCCATGTATGTATGAAACGAATATATAGTCTCAGTTACATATAATTTTCTGTAAGTATTGATTAGATCAAGTTGTTTCAAAGTATTGTTTGAATCATTAATATATTGATATTTTATCTACTTTTTCATTAACTATTGTGAAAAAGTGTCATAGCCCATTTGTGTTGCTATAACAAGACACCTTAGACTGGGTAATATAATTTATAAGAAATAGTAAATAATTTCCTTCCAATTCTGGAAGCCTGGAATTCCAAAATCAAGGCTTTTCTCTAAATCTCCACTGATTTATTTGTTTTAAAAATTCCAAAATCAAGGAATTCCAAAATCAAGGCTTTTCTCTAAATCTCCACTGATTTATTTGTTTTAAAAATAAAGATTAAAGATTAAAGTGGCATCTATCTTAAAGGCTTATTGTAAAGTGGAAATGAGAAAAGGGTCGTGAAGCATTTCCCACAGTGTTGGGAGCATAATGAAGGCTCCCTAAATGTTAGATTTTACTTTTAACTTTTGAACCAATCTATTGATTTGTGTGCACATTTTGTGCTTCCTGCATTGAAATGTAAACACGACAAATCACCAAAGTCTTGAGAATCTATCTATCACTACATTCCCTCATGGACCAGAGACAGTTTGGTATTTAGAGTTTCAGGAAATACCTATGAAAAAATGAGAGAATAGATGTCATCAATGAACTACGCCAAATGAAGGAACTATTGCTAAGAACCTGTCCTGTCCACAGTGGTCAACATAATCTGCATTTGTGGATGCAGTAACTGTGAGTATAAGAACACAGCTTATGGTTGAGCTCACATTTTAATTAAATTAATGTTTCAGAATGTCTATAATGACCACACTTATTTGTTACTTCTGTTATTTTTTTCTTAACAAATATTTAAATTTTGATTATAAACAACATAATTATGATGATTTGATAATGCAAAAGATGAAGCCCAGTATTATGTCCTGGATGTTGTAAATGTGTTTGACACCCACACTCCTGAGGTCTGTTTATTAAATGCAAAGTAATCTCAGAAGGACAAATTAAATCCAGGAAACAGAAACTTCCATTTGCATCTTAACAAACTGTAAGTCAGCTTTCAGCCTGGACATATATTGTCTAGGCTAGCTAAGTTCTCAAGAAGTAACTGGAGGGATCTCAACAAAGATATTTCTGATTCCATCACCAGATATTCTTGGAGTATAATTTGATTTAAAGAAAGAGAAAAGAATCATCCTCCCCTCACCCAGCTACTATATACTTCAATCTGCAGCCGGTGATCTAAGAGAGCTGTAGCTAAGGACTGGTGGATATGTCAAGTGCAGTAGAAATCTTCCTCATTTTTGTTGCTATTACTGAGTCGGTCCTGGGGCTTTTAGGGAATGGATTCATTGTACTTGTAAACTGCATTGACTATGTAAGAAAGAAGAAATTCTCTCTGATTTGCTTCATACTCACTGGCTTAGCTATTTCCAGAATTTGTGTGATATGGCTAATCACTTTAGATGGATATGTAAAGGTATTCTATCCACATATGTATATCGTTGGTAACTTCTCTGAGTATATTAGTTATCTATGGGCAATTTTCAATCATTTAAACATCTCATTTTCTACCAGCCTCGCGATCTTCTATTTCCTGAAGATAGCAAATTTTTCTCACTCCATATTTCTCGGGTTGAAGAGAAGAATCAAATGTGTTTTTATCCTTCTGATGGGATGCATGCTTCTGTCATTTATATTTAATTTTCTACAAGTTGCGAAGATAATTAATGATCATAAAGCGAAATACAGAAACACATCCTGGCAGCTCCATACACGTAACAGAGAGTTTTTTCTTGGCCAACTTTTCACCAATTTGGGAATCATTTTCTTCTTTATAGTGTTTGTAATCACATGTTTTCTGTTAATCTTTTCTCTTTGGAGACACCACAAGCAGATGCGGTTGCATGTCACAGGATCCAGAGACTTCAACACAGAAGCACACGTGAAAGCAGTGAAAGCTTTAATATCTTTTATCATTCTTCATGTCTTGTATTTTATAGGCATTGTCATAGAAACATCCTGCGCCACTGTGCCAGAAAACAAACCTCTATTTCTTTTTGGCTGGATAAATATAGCTGTCTTTCCCTGTGTTCATGCGTTTATTCTCATTCGAGGTAACAGCCAGCTGAAGCAAACCTCACTGAGGGTAGTACAGCGATTAAAGTGCTGTGAGAAAAGACAGAATCTCAGTTACATAGACAGGCTTGCAGCAAAATGGATATTCTAGGAATCTACGCAGCAAATCCTTGAAGACCTTTTTCACTTGCTCCACCTCTTGCACTGGTTTGTAATTGTGTCACTGAGCATCACTGAAATCTTCAGTAACTCTTTGGCTGTGTCTCAGGGAAACCCGCTCTCGCATGAGATTTAATCGCATGTGCAAATTCATTGGCTCAGTCAACTTTCTGACTCTGCAACTGCTTTCCAACTACTGCCCAGAGGAAAATCACCAGTCGAGAGACTATTCTGTAGAAAGACAACTAGGGGAGGATAAACAGCCACAAGACTTTCCAGCGTTCTTCACCTGGCTTCCCTGAGGCAGGGGCACCCTTTCCCTAAGAAGACCCTCCGAAAAAGAAATACAGACAAAAAAAAGTTCCGATCAATTTTGGCATTCAGAATATAGAAGGAACAGGAAAGGATGCTTGTGTGTGTGTGTGTGTGTGCAATTTTAATTCTTTAGAAAGTTACTTTATTATCCGTGTTTAAGTCCTAATGTCCTTTTTCACTGCTGTATATTTGAGGCAGTAGCAATAGTCACAGTAGCGAATGCAACACTATGAAAAATACCTAGGGAAAGCACTGGGGGGAGAGGGTCAGAGCACTAATGAAATGAATCTTAGTTCTCCAGGGTCTGACATGAAGCAAAGTCAGGAATCCAGAGTTGAGTAATGAATCAGTAGAACAACAAATCCAAAAGATCCAACATGATCACTGATGAAGGACAAAAGATTGAATGTAGGGTAGGATCTGTGTGAAGTATGAAATGTTCAACTCTAGGATTTCACACACACACACACACACACACACACACACACACACTACACAAACTTGCAGTCACAGACATATTACCAATGTTGATTTTTTAGAGTAAATGTTTGGGCTGGGGATATAGCTCAGCAGCACTGTGCCTGCCTGGCAAGCACAAGGTCGTGAGTTCAATTGCAATACCAAAAAAAAAAAAAAAAAGTAAATTTTGTGTTCAGTCCAGGGACAGGGGCTCAGTAACTTATTTTGGCAACTTCCAAAGGTATGCTGATATTTTCATGGCCTTGTGCCTGGAGTATTGCTAAAAGATCAGGGCTTATTCCATTTTCTGCATGAGGTTTCCAAATATTTTTATATTTTTCAACTAATATATTTGGGATATACAGATAATTAAGAGATAATGGGGAAATAGCAGTAGTAACAACAACACTATCATGTTATCCAATTTCAAGCAAATTTACCAGGTTGTTTTGGAAGTTATATTGTGTAAGTAATGATGCTGTCTGTGTAGATTATGTCACTTATTTTCCAATGACAAAATTTGTTTGTAATCATCATTTTAAGGGATAAATAATAGCCTATCTTGCAGATGCATAAACATGTTTAATCTTTGTCATACTCTTTATATTTAGCTTGCTTTATCTTTTTATTGTTAAGTAAACCTCAGGCGAATATTATGAAGCAGGAGTATTGTAAATTCATCCAATATATGTACTTTAACACTAACTCTGCTAGGTATCGAGAATATGCTGTTACATAATAGTGAATAGATATCCATTTTGTTCCAATTTTAGCATCATTAAATTATTTTAATGTTACTTTTGATCACAAAACATCATTTAAAATTTTGTGTGTGTTTAATTGCTAGTGAGGTTAAAATGATTATTTAGCCAGAGGCAAATCCTTCTCAGGAACTGCTCATTTGTTTTACCTTTTTAGATCTTATGGTTTTCTTACCAATTTTTTGACTACCTCATATGTTAACACTATGTTATATATCTGTTACAATAATTATAATTTTTCTTCTTAATTTTTCTCTCAATTTGCTTTTGGCAAATGATTTGTGATGTTTGGAAAAATAGGCTGGTAATTCATATGAACTGAAATCTATGTATATTTTCCTTTGTGATTCCTTTGCTATTTTGCCAGTGTTAGTTTTGTTTTATTGATACTTGTTCTTTTTGTCAAATAGCTCCATTTGTTACTAAAAATAGTTCAGTTTCAATTGTACCTAATATTAGAAAACAGGTATAAAAGAGAAATTGATTATATATATTTATAATACTCAACTACCACTGGTAGCATGTTTCTATAAAGATTTTAAGATTCATACATACATAGATAAACAGGTATGTTGCTTAGAAATCTATTTTGACTACATTTATATATAAACTTAGGTTCCTCATCTGTGGATAGGGGAAGTATAGATGATTTTTATTTTTGTTTTGTAGTTCTCTGTAACTTACTAAATTTTCTATGAACTAGTGTGTGTACTCAAGAAGGTAATCAAATAAAAGATAAGGTATGTGAGAAAAATCTGCCGGGCTAATTTTCCTTAATACATGAGACAAAGAGCATTCCCTGGTGTTTTTCTAAACTCTGTAAGTACTAACTCTAGCATCTGCTGTCTTTGCAGGGTGAATTATTAACTTGCAATCCAGGGTTGGAGATGCTAGACAAGTGTTCTAGCTCTGAGATATACAGGGGGCCCAGGGATTTTACTTTGAACTCAATTTCATTAGAAATTCATTGATGGCGTTCTCTGAGGTCAAGTTGACAATGTACTCTTCCAGGAAGGATTTAACTTTAACTTCACTTTAAAAGACTGACTGGGGATGTTACCAGTCTGAGACTTTTTCAAATGAAATTTTCAGTTTGTAAGGTTCTTGGCAACACCATACAAATTTGCATGCAAGCGCAGTATGGTGGAAATGAAGGACATATATATGTGCAGGCAAGGCTATTATGAGACATTTAATTTAAACTTTTGCTGGATGTGTGTTATTTTCTTTTCTTTTTTTTTTTTTCCCAGTACTGGGAATCGAACCCATGACCTCACGCTTGCCAGGCAGGCACTGTGCCGCTGAGCTAAATCCCCAGCCGTTGTATGTTATTTTCTTAACTGCCCATTAAGGTACTGCCTTCCAGGGGTTCTGGTTTGTTGCTAGTAACCAGTCTCCCTTCTAGTTTTGGAGAGCCCCAGGCAGGCGTACCCAGGGGGAGGGGAGAGGGAGCTAAAGAAGAATAGCTGCATCGTGTACAGGTACCAACTCCCCAGAGTGAAGGTACTCATGACGGACCACACACGTGTACTAGTAGAATAAAATCTCAAAAGAAATGGAAACCCTGGATTTAAGGAGACTAATGCTGCCTTAACTCTATTTCAGCATTTTTTTCTCTTTCATTATTTTCCCTTTCTCACTGTTTTTGTTTGTTTGTTTGTTTTTTTTTTGGTGTTTCTCTGGTACCGGGAACCGAACTCACGACCTCGCACTTGCCAGGCAGGCGCTTTGCCGCTGAGCTAAATCCCCAGCCCCTCTCACTGTTTTTGACATCTGAGGAAATTTTTAAAAAATTTTCATTACAGCTGGGTCGTCCACTTAAAGTATTCAGTTTATTTCTATATCCTTGCTTGGAAAGAGCCAGACATCTGGTTTTACATATTCTTAGAAGCAAAGTCAGTTCTGTCACTGGCTTCTTTTCAATTGTTCTTTTGCAGATCAAATTGTATTCAAAGCTGTATTTTCCTCATTAAATATCAATTTACATACCTTTTATAAATGTTGGCACATGATTCTTATATTGTTATTTAATTTGTGTTGATATTTTACTGAATTGGGTCCTACAACATGTCTGTATGTTATATAGTGTAGAATAAGATTTGTTTGGCCTAATGCAAGATCTTTCCGTGTCAATGGTCCATCAAATATGAAAGAAATTTATTGATCCTAAAGTTAAATGTATATATAAACACTGGATGAACCCCGCTATTCTGGGTTTGTCAGATGAAGTTAACCATGATTTAGTCTAAACTTTTACAGTGTTCAAACTGTAGCTTTCTTTTTCTGAAATTTGAGACAACATGCGTAAATATGAAGCTTTAAAATAAAAACCCAGATTTGGAGCTTCTCTGGAAAGACTTGTCAAGATTGGCTTACATTCTGAAGTGGCCAGGGCCCTAGTGGATGGAGCCACACATCAGCACTGCACTCCTTGCCTTCCTGCCACTTACTTTTATTCCTGTCTGACGCCTACAGGGCTTTATATTTACGATACCTGCTTGAATTCTCCATATCCTCCAGGAGGTTTATAATGCACCTTACAGGGCCTGGGAATCTGGTAAACTGTGTAGCACTTCCAGGATTAATTTGAACACTAGAGTACCAGTAACTAGTGGCAGTCTGGGAAATAAAATACACGGGGGCTTGGGAGAAAACACATATGGTACAGGATTAACAACTGGACCTGATTTTTTATCTTGACTCTTAGCAGGATAACTTGTTCTTTATTCCTATTAGGTACAATCATTTCATATTTACCTTGCTATATAGTGGTAACTTCAATAAAATGTTACTTGTTAGAGGATTTTAAAAGGTAAAAAACAATACATAATGTAAATTTTCCCCTAGCAGATTTTGTGGTGATAGCAGATTCAGCATCAGTTCTCCAAGGGTAATTTCACTGAGTTTACATTCATAAATCTCTTGCCATATATAAATATTTTGTTTTGTTTTACTTTTTTTTTTTTTTAGAAACAATGTTCCTTTTTAAAATGGTTGATGTTGGGTGGTTTCATTACTATACTAGAGAAGAAACTTCTGTAACAACAGAAGAAGAATGGATAAGAAAAAAGGAGGAATGTAATTAACATGAATTCTTCTATACACTCATCAGTCTTATAGATCATATTGAACCTTGTTTTGATTTTGATCTTTTGAGACATGATAGAGGCCATTACCTACAATCTGTACTGGAGTATTAGAACATGGTTATAATTAAGATTGTTTATTACATTTAAAGAAATTTTGCACATCTGTAAAGAGTGGGAAAGCTAATCATTTACTGATAGCTATAAATATGTGATAATTTTGTGCATACATTAAAGTAAGGGAGTCAAATTGGCTTTTTTCATTAAAAAGTTTTCATTTAAAATTAAGTATGATTTATCTAATTTTTAATTTTTCTTATGTCTTTCATGTCATATTTAATAATTCATTGTCAAATCCAAGGTCATGAACA